ATGTGCAGAAAGTTCAGACAGCGACTTAATCACACCAACTCAGGGAATGTACAACGTAACAACAAACCTAGAGAGGAAGCCACCTGATGGTAGAGAGTACCGACCAAACAGCTGTATCGAAATCGAAGGCGATGACTTCAGAGTTTACGATGAGGATTTTGACAAGCGTATAAGGGAGGTTACAGCTGATGATGAGGATACTCTACAACAACTTGCATCAGAATTGGAATCGGGAAGAAATTCAGGTAAGTTCTGAAAATTTTTTTTAAGTGGTAAACCTTTTTCAATTAAAAATCACCACCAATATCTCAGTACAAATAGACTCATCATCAACATTGTCATATTGCAAGCATGAACTAGGGAGCAGTCGTTTTACAATGCAATGTGACTGCATGACTGACAAACCATTTATTTATTCACATGTCTCGACCTTAGTAACAATATCCAAGGGGAGGGGCTTAGCGGAATGGTCTGTTGACACTGCATGTGGTAGAATATAATTTTGAAATGGATTTACATGTTGTGTTAAAACATGTTTTTGTTTCTCTGGCAGTGGATGATGATGGTCTGATTTCCAGGCTCAGCTTGCTAGAAGATTTTCCCGATGGTGACTACACATCGTTAGAAGACCAGCTTGGTATACAACAAGACGATGGCTTAGGTTCGGGTCTCAGCACTCCATGCGATGAACTGAACATTGAACAAGAAATGGATGAAGAATCGATGCAGGGAGACTTTGAGGAAGAACGGATAGCAAGTGTCATGGAGGTGAAAGCTCTTGAATAACAATTGTGTAAATATAGATAAATTTGATATGAATGATAATCATCTAAAAAAGTATTATATTATTATATAGAGATCCAAATATTCAAAATAACTGTCTGTTACAAGATTTAGAAAAAAAACTTAAAATATCATATGTGATGTGTTAACATTAATTTAGAGAAAATGAATAATTTATTTGTCATTCAGTAGTGCTGCTAGCAGGGGGGGGGGGGGCGTTGG